CGGCGCCGGCCTGAGGCTGCGGAGCAGCAGGAGCGCCGGGAAGGAGCTGGCTTTGCCGGGGAAAGTGGTGGCAACGGCCAGACCAGCCTCGCACACGCCCTGGGGCCTCGCTAACCATGTCTGATGGCGGAGGTTGCCCTCCTGGCCTCGCTGGCCGTGTGCCACTCTGGGCATGCAGGTGCCCCGTGTCCCCCGCCTGGCCAGGGGCTTGGTTCTCCTGGGCCCTCGCGACACCCAGGACGGTGTGCGGGGAGTGGTCAGGGGGAGCTGCACCAAGCAGCGTGCGCTATGGAGGCGTTCGTCCGGGATTGGTTTGTGTCAGGTCTCTGGAGGGACAGGTGACAGGAGCAGGCGGTGCCCACAAGCTGGTGTGCCAGCCCTGGAAAGAAGCGCTGTTGTAGGGGTCTCAGCCCTGTCCGCTCGGCAGGAGGGCGCTGTCTTCTGTGTTTGTTAGGAAAGATCTGGCTGTGTCCCCGCCGGGGCCCGGGGCCGGAACTGCCAAGGGTGGTTGGTGCCTCCAGGCATTATGAGAAGTCAGGGCGCCCCCAGCCCTTCATCTTTCCAGATCCTCCCACAGGATGGGCCCCTTCTTCCCTGAACCAGCCTCTCCTCTCCTGCCCGGCTCCCACGGAAGACACACCTCTCCCCGTCCCCGAACCTATCCTGCTTCTGTTTCTTTTCTGTAAAGTGAGCCGGTCTTTGGGGACCAATACCCATTGTGCACCCTGGATTCTTTACTCTCCTCCCAACTGCCGAGACACCGCTCTGCACACTCCCCTTGGCGCCGCATCGGGTCCTGAAATGCTGAGTGGATGCCCGTGAGCACAGACGGGAGGTGAGAGGGGAAGGAAGGTCTGTCCTTGTCCTCAGGCTTGTAATCACGTCCCAAGCCAGGAGCTCTCCCACGATCCGCCTTCATGTCAGAGGCCACCGGCCGACGTCCTCACCTGCTTTCTCCTGGACGCCTCGGGCAGATCTCACCTCACTAAGCCACTCGGGCTGCAGGTCCCAAGCACCCTCTGCTCCTCCGCCAGGTCCGAAATAGTCCTGCCAGGAGCCGCTTCTCATAGCGCGAAGTCCAGGCTGCTGCCTCTCTCTTGCCTTGACCATTTCGGGAGCTTCCCATACGGTCTCCCTGCTTCGACCTCGAGCCCTGCGCCCGTCCCACACCAAGCTCAGGGTGCTCTGAAGACGTCACATCACGTCCCTCAGTGGCTTCCAGACCCACTTAGATTACACTTCACAGCCCACGAGGCTGTGGGGTCTGAGCTGCTACCCCCTTCTTTCATTCCTTCTACCTAGAGGTCTCTTCTCCCAAATTATGGTTCGTGACTGGTCTTTCTTCCTCTGTCGGTGCCTCAGAACTTCCCTCCCCACGTCATTCTCACAGCACTCGGCTGCACAGCAGCAGCTGAAGTAGCTAGCGTGGCCCCGGACCTTGCCGAGTGCCCGGCACTGTGCATGCCTCCTGGGACCTTCCTGGGGCTGTGCAGCAGGTTTGAATGGGATAGTTTGACTTCAGAGCCTGCTCCTAGCTGCCCTGTCTGCATTGCCTCCCGCACAGCATTGTGGGAAATAGACGAAAAACAAGCCCAGGGCCTGAAACATTTATAGTGCTTTGGAGGGAGCCTGGGGCTGAGGGGGGGGCATTGTCTACTGCAGTACTTTTCAGGCTTTAATGTGCATACACAGCACCTGGGGAGCTGATTAAAATGCAGATTCCCTCCAAGAGCCCTGTCAGCTCTTAGAAGAGACGCAGCCGGGCGAGTGCTGGGGCTGGGGGCCAGGGGCCTCTTCCCTTGCGGGTCCGGAGGAGGCTGGAGCTCTGCGTGCCAACCTCGCCTGCACAGGTCCCAGGAGCGCGGGGCTCTGGGGCTCTGGCTGTGCTCCCCTGGGCTCCCTGCTCTACCCTTGACACTTCATGTGCAGCTCTCAGATATGTGGCTCCCTTCCGAGCAGATCTATAGATACACACACGTGCTGTATTCCAGGTGTGCCGTGTTCAGCGCGTGCAGTTCTGGGCCAGGCTCCTCTATGCATATCACCACTCTGCACAGCAGCCTGGAGTGGCTTCTTAGTGTGTAGTTGAAGAACAGCGACTCATCTCTACGTATAAAAGGCTAATACGCTAAGTGTCCCTCCTACTGTCCTACCAGTAGCTATGATGCGCACTGACCACCAGGGAGCTGCCGAGCTGCAGTGACTTGGCAGCAGCAGTTCTTGGGTGACGAACCCCAAAACCAGAGAGTTGGGAGCCCGATTCCTCGTGGGGCCACCTGATTCCTTGTGGGGCTGTGCGATTCCACCTTCGGCTGTGGGTATGTTGTTGCTGGGCATTGTCGGCCCAGAATTTGATTTATTGCTCACTTGCGTTTGCGTTCCACAAAGTTCCTGTACTACAGCAACTTTGCAGAATGCCCTCTCGCACTCCTGGGCCCTCAGGGCGTGTTGGAGAGCCGTTTCAGCCTGATCCCCGCAGGCCAGGCCGAGGGACCACAGACACCATCGGGGGAGGTTGGCTCCAGGGCATGTCCAGCCCATCTCACCCAGTCCCGCCCTGCGGGCCACCTTCTAATTGATTTCAACATGCACGAATCTGTGCGCCGGGTCACTAGTTTTTAATATTTGTCCAGAATGTCCTGGCTTTTCATGTGGTAAAGTCAGGGTGTAGATGCAGTCTTGTGAGTTCCAAAGCCTGGACCCTAACTTCCCGGTGTAAGAGCATTCACTAATGTGGGCCACATGGAGGCTGGAGCTCAGTGGGTAACTGAAGGTGTGGCTGGCCTGGAAGGGTTTTGCAGAGGAACGAAGGTGCCCTGCCTCAGCAGGCGGGCGGGCACTGTGTGGGACAGGGAAGGTCTCAGTGCAGGAGCCAGGCTTGGGCTGAGTCTGGAGAAAGGCAGCGTGCCGATCGGGGACAATGATGTAGAGGAAGGTGAGGTTGTTCATTCCCGTTCCTCAGACGGCGCGTGGCCTGTGACCTTGGGGTTGTGCTGCTTCATGTGGAGTTGGGAGGGGCGATTTCAGGAGACCGTAGCGGGAGGGCTGTGGCTGAAGTCTGGCCCCACTTGCTCACACTTCCCGGGAACAGGCGAGGCTGAGGGAGGCCCTGCGGCCACGAGGGTCTAGGGAGCAGCGAGGCCAGGCTCTGACTGTGCCTGTGCATTTGATGACTGGCCGGGAGAGGACGGAGTGGGGGAAGGAGGCCTGTGAGTTGAGACCAGGGGGGCGCTAGCAGGAGGACAGTGGCCCGCAGTCCCTTCACCCGGGTTTTGAGAACCTTACGCAGCTGTTCGGGGCTGGGTGCTGTGCGGATTCCCGTGAACCCCTGCGTGGCTGGGAGATGAGTGCGGGGAGAATGGAAGGGTTGAGGGTGGCCTGGTCCTCTGCAGGTGGTGGTCAGGGCGACGTCAGGGGAGGCGGTCAAGCAGCTTCGAAGCTAGGTTTTGAATTTGAAGAGTGTGTGGAGTTTTCTGTAGACCGCGCAGCCGTGGGAGGCAGGTGTGCGCACTAGCCTGGGCAGGCGGGGCTTCCCCACAGGGTGAGAGGCTGGGCAGCAGCCCCGGGAAGTCGGAGCCCTCGGGGGGAGGGGGACCTGTGAGGTGTCATCACCCAGGACCGATGAGGGCTTCCCAGCATGGATGTCAGCATCTGAGTGGAGTGAGAAG